ATGCCAGAGAACCACCTAACAGGCCCGCTGGCACTCACCGCCTGCCCCCCATGCAGGAGTCAAGATCATCTTCCGGGTGGGGCTGGTGCTGCTGAAGCACGCGCTGGGCTCTCCTGAGAAGCTCAGAGCCTGCCAGGGCCAGTATGAGACCATCGAACAACTTCGGAGCCTCAGCCCCAAGATCATGCAGGAAGCATTCCTGGTTCAGGAGGTATGGCCCACGTCTGCCCCTTGTCACAGTGGGGAGGGAGGCCTGGTGAACCCCGTCTGCAAAGGCGAGTCATCTGTGCCAGCCCACAGCTTGGCAGGCAGGGACAGCAGGTGGAGCGCATCATGCTGTCTGGGTGAGGAGCGCGGGACACAGGCTGAGGTTTGCAGGCCCGCCTTCTCTCATGTGGGAGCTTGGACAAGGAACTGTCTTCCTCCCTGGTCCTGCAGTCATTGCCTGGGCTTCATTTTCTCCGTTGGGATTCCTGGCTCTCCAACTGTAAGGAGGTAACACGTGGATAGACAGCTTCTCTGGGTGGAAGCCAGAGCCAGGCTGCGGCAGGGACGGTGCCAGTGTGCAGGGCAGCAGCAGTGGCACTTGTGCACTTGGTTCTCCAGAGCTACTGCGAGCGGTGGCACTATGCCCACTTCACATAAGAGGAAATGGAGGCGCCCAGAGGCAGGATCACCAAGTACCTCCCCCGAGTCAGTAGCCAGAAAGTGGTGGAACTAGAGTTCAAGTGGCTGCCTGGGCAATGGGACATGGCTGAGAGTGGGTGTTGCCCTGTCTGAGCCTCACACCTTTGCCCAGTAAGTAAGGCAAGTGGGCCTGTGAGTTGTGGGCAGCTTTCTCCTCTGAGGCAGTGTGTGTTTTGGGTCCAGCGCACCAGGCAGTCTGCTCTGGGACGCGTGACCACAGCTTAGGAGCAGACCCCCATCCTTCCTGAGGCCAGGGAAAGTGGGGCCCAGGTTGGGGGTGAGGAGAAGGCAAAGGTCATTCTTCCTGGTGCCCTTCTCCCTCTAACTGCCCCTGCAGGTGGTGGAGTTGCCTGTGACAGAGCGACAGATTGAGCGTGAACACCTCATCCAGCTGCGGCGCTGGCAGGAAACCCGGGGTGAACTGCAGTGCCGCTCCCCACCCAGGCTGCACGGTGCCAAGGCCATCCTGGATGCAGAGCCCAGCCCCAGGGCTGCCCTGCAACCTTCACCGTCCATCCGCCTGCCCCCAGATGTACCTCTCCCCAGCTCCAAGGCCAAGCCCAAACTGTCCACGCATGCTCAGAAGGAGCAGAAGAAGCAGAAAAAAGCAAGTGGGCATCTAGACAAGTTCCCAGCCCCCAATCAAGCCATAGCAGTTACCGCTGGAGGAGATGCATGTGCCCCACAGGATGTGACCCTGAAAGACCCAGCTTCCCAGGATCCAGTTCTCCAGGATTCAGCTCCTCAGGACTTAGCCCATCACTGCTCCCAAGAGAGCCTGACCTCCCAAGAGAGTGAGGACACCTACTTGTAACCTCGGCAGCCTGGGCCTCCAGGGCGGGGTCTCTCCACCCCTACCTGGTTCGAGGACTGACACTCCAGGGCCTGCTTACCTGAGGGCCCAACTGCTTGGCCAAGAAGCCGGGACAGAGTCTGGCTGGCCCACCACAGACTCCGCCTGAGTCTCTTTATTTATTTTCTCTAGAGTGGAACTCAGGCCGGCCCAGCCGGCACAGGCAGAAGCTAGGGCCGAGAGGGTGGGGCCTCAGTTCCCTTCTCCTGAGGATGCTTCCTAGGGACAGGGCACTGGCATGAGGGGAGCATGTGGGGTGCTCTTCGTGTAAAATAGAAAGGTGGTTTTGTACAGAAATAAACAGGCTTGTGTAAAGAGCTGGTGCGCAGCTAGTGACGGGGAGGGGCCGCTTCCCTGGCTCTCAGCATCTCTACTCCACACCCTACAGAGCTCCTCCTGTGCCCAGCCCTGCTTGTGCCTCTCTGAGGAGTGCCTTTGGCAGAGGAGTTACCAGGTACAGGGCCAGCCTCTGTTCTTGGCTCCTGTTTTCCCTCACCCCATCCCTGGTGCCCATGTCTACTTCTGCCGTAGATTAGGGCACTGGGGCTGGAGCCTACTGTCGAGGCCTTGCTTCCTCCTCATCAAGAAGGCCGGAAGGGATATTCCTCAGGAGGTGACTTCAGGCTCTTACCCCTTCAAGGCCCCAGTGAGCTTCTGAGTACTCATTCTGGATCAGGGGCTGGCACAAGGATGAACGTCCTCACATGCTCAGGCAGGCCTCCATGGTAGGCAGATGGGCGAGCGGAGGACGTCTGGGTCCTTGATAAAATGCCGCCTTCCATTTACTGAGCACTCGTGTGCCACGCTGACGGGTAAAATCGGGGCCGAGTGGGAACCCACCCCTACAAGCAGAGCCCCTCACTCAGCTTTCTCTCCTGACCAGGTGACCTGACTCCCACTGGGGCCAGGCAGATGCTTGGTCACAACCTGATGACCAGCAAGGGTGAGGACAGGGTGTCCCTGGGAGAGGCCGCACACACACACGCCGCTGAGGAAGCAGCTTTTCCAGTCAAACAATAGCTGCTGTTCCTGGCAGGAGACCAAGCTGGGCCAGGCCGCAGCGGGAGGGGGTGAGGGAGTGAGAGGGAGAAGCAGAGCCTCCCCTTGAGCTTTCAGGCATCCCCCTGGGCCTAGAACATCGTGTTCTGAAACAGCTGGGGATACTGAGGCCTAAGGAAGCGCATGGCCACAGGAGACTCAGTACAGCCTACCCACTTCCTGCCTCCTGCCCCTCACTGCTGCGGCCTCCCACCTTAATCTGCACCTGCCATTGATGAGAAGAGCTCAGCCTTTGAGACACCCTCCCCCCAGTCCTCCTGCAGTGTTCCGTGGGAATCCCAAGGGGTCAGGGATGAGGCTTAGCCAGGTTTCCATCTGTGGTGAGGGCTCCAGAGCAGGCAGGCCCAATCACGCCGGAGGCCTGCTTACCCTGCTTGGTTCAGAGCCTCGGATCTGAGGCCTAAGGATGCTTGGGTCAGATTAGAGCCCTCTGCAGCACGCTGGGTCCTGCCACCGAGACAACCTGAGCTTGCTGATGCCTGCTGCAAGAGGCGGGATAAGATCTTGGTGTCTGCCAACTGGGGGCCTCCTAGGGCCTGAAGCCAGTTCAGATGTGCGGAGACCACTTGGGATCTGCTTCCACCACAGGCTTTGGGGCGGCCTCGGAAGAACTCAAGTGTCTGAGGTCTGAGTACCCAGCAGGGCTGACTTCATGGTTCTGTCCCTTCAAGCCTGGGTCCAGGGCATTCCTAGCCCGAGCACTTCTGGGGTTGGTTTGTATCGCGGGACCTTAAGCCAGAGGCCCCGGGCACCTTCAGCGCGCTACCTTCCGGGTGTTGCTCAGAAAGAGGTGGCCAAGACTCGCGTCTCTGAGGTTAGTAGCCTTGTCCTCTGGAATTAGAAAAACAGGGCCACCCTGGTCAGCGCCCACTCACAAAGCCGGGAGGGGTATTATCAATGCCAATCCCAGGCAGCCCTTGCTTTGGGGATTCCCACCTCAGTTAGCTCTGCGGCCCTGCCCCCGCATCCATTACAGCAAGGGCAGAGAAAGGCACTGTCCCGGACACTGGGGAGCAAAACAGGGTCCCTGAGGCTGCACTACTGGCTTCTGTGCCTCCACGCTCCAGGGGCTCGGGCCAACGTTCCGGTCCCAGCCAAGCTCCGGTTCTTCAGGCCTTCTCAGTGACTTCAGTCTATCCACTTGGTACCTGGAGGGACACGGCCTCTGCTTCCGGTACGCTCCCAAACCCGGAGGAGCTGAGTCCTGCGGAAGGGCGGAGCCGGTGAGGGGTACGGCTCGGGCGGAGCCTGGAGAACTCCAAAGCGCTGGGGTCTGGCGCTGGTTCCTACGCCGGGGCTAGCGGGTGGAGCCTTCCGGGGTGGGGCTAGGCGGGCCGAAATCCTGGCGTTAAGGAGGCGTGGCCACCTTGTATTGGTCTTGAGCCTGGCGGGGCGTGGCCATCAAGGAGCCAGATGTCTGGGCGCCGGGCTGGACCTGTCCACGGCGTAGCGGGCGGCGTGGACCGAACCGCCCTGCTGCTCCTCTAAGTCCCGGGCGCCACCCTGC